CAAAAGATGGTCCCTTTTGTTCAGACCCCTTTCCAGCAGCAGCAGATTCTTCTTGTGGATGTCTGTCGTCCTCTTCACTTAGCTTAGAGGCGGCATTTTTTAATTCCTTGATAGTGTCCATCATCTCCCTCTGGGTTTCCCTCATAGCCTGCATAGCCGTAATGAGATATGTGAGGGTGAGAGTTCCCTCACTTGTATGTTCTTGTTCCTTAGAGGAGGCATTTTGCCGTGATCCAGAATCACCATGGTCGGATCCATCTTGAGAAGCCATGGTATTGCTCCTAGTCTTCTTTTTCGGAGGCATTTAGTGAAAACAGCAGCTTGATTCCCCAGTAAAGTCGCCAATTTATGTAGGGGATTTTTTGTTCCAGCAGCTTGACGAATGGGCTTGGGCTACCGTAAGAAGAAAATACACAGAATTGCCCCAAGTATCCGAGTTCTGGAACCAAGCTCCTAAATGAGTTTTTGAAAGGTTTGGTAAACCTTATAAAAACACCCTCGGGTTCTTTTCACCAATTGCCAAATAAGCATGATAGATCGATTAATGGCTTAGCACGAGGAGCTTTTGACATGGGAGCTAAGCTTTCACAACTTTAGCGATTTGAGAGAGAAAAAAGCATGGGTTTCTTACAGAGGACAGAAATTTAAACTGGGGCAAAGGAGAATTAGGAAGATTTTCACCTCAGGAAAAGAAGAAAAACAACGAAGAAAGGGGATTGGGTGGCTTGAGTGAATTCCAGGTTGCTTGACAAAGCTTGGTCAGGCTCTGGATGGTGATTTTTGCTGGGTAGAAAAGGCCTTTTTTATAGCCACGAGGAACCCTAATTTTGTCTTAATTTCTCCTCCTCTTTTCATTGCTCTCTTCCACTTTATCTTCCTTAATGAATTTCTTCATCCAAGAAGCATGGGTAAGGAACCCTTTGTAGTTCCAAGGATTTGACGTAGCTGGAGCTTCCCATAGGGGGAAGGCGGCACCTGCTTTCCTTATGGTTTTTCAAGACGGAGCTTACAGAGGAAAAGAAAATAGATGAAGCCTTTTATCCGATGGACACTCCTCTCACCCTCGTCGATTTCCTCTGGTCCTGTCATGGCCCCTTGTGACTGTTGTTTAGAGTTCTAACAGGAATGGGACTTAGCGCCAAACTTTAGCAAGTTGCTGGGCTGGGCTTGTACACATGGTATTAGGTCTTTTGGCTTGTTGCTTCCAGCGTGCAATAGGTTTCGTCAGCCTGCTGGAAACAGCTTTATTCTTTTAAGCATTCTATTGATGTGGGCTGGGCTACTAGCTGATTTCCTAAAGTTTTGGACTATTTTTCCTCTTTCTCATGTTAACCATGTATTTGGGTTCTAGAAACGGGCTTGAGTTTCAATGCCCCCAAGTGGCTTGAAACTTGCGTTCCCCGAACCCTCAATGGGCCCTGTGATTGCTTGTTCCCTTCCATACCACAACCTTCTCAGTAAGCCCCTATTAATTTTGTGGCTTGGGCGCACTTAAGCTCGTGGAATGGCTTGAAATTAGAATAATGCCTTTTCTTGCATGATGCCTCTGTTTGTGCTCGTGTTTTATTATGCCGTGATAGACTTATAATTGGGCCAAGTAACACCGAAGAGATATGTGAGAGTGGTCTTGTAATGTTGGCATGCTCTTGGCCCCTTTGTATGTGCTTGCTTGGCATGACACGTGGCTGGTAGCTTGTATTAGCGAGTCCTACAAATTCTCTTTTGTTCTGATTAAGCCTTTATTGTACTCTCTTATCTGTGTTGGGCCAGGAATTAATTTGGGCTTAGCCCCTTGGATTTTTAGGCCTCAACACCCCTGTAGTAAACTTATAAGAAAATGGAAACGAAGGCATTTGCACCCAATCCTTCTTATCATGGTTATATTTCCCAAAGAATAAGCCTGAAGCTTGTATGAATTCCATTTCGGTTTCAAGAAAATAAAGTGTGCCATATGCCGACACAATTGTTCCATGCTGCTTAAATTGTACGGTAGAAGGTGTTAAGCAATCTAATGCCCTAGTTTTTGTATCAGAGATATACCCTCCAAATGAATCAACACAAGGTTTATCCCACCCCTAATCTGAAAACACATATAGTTGGGAGCGGTCGAAAAGCCTTGCACCCAAATGGGTAGAACCACTAAACTTGGCTACACGTGCTACTCGTGCACCCATATCATCAACTTCTCCTCCAAATTTGAATTTCGATCACTTCATATATGGCATCAATGTATTTGCCCCTAAGGAAAGTTACCATTAAAAACAAAGATCTATCTTCCCCCTGATATCGTCGTTGATGCATTCTCAACCACGGGCAAGCAGGACAGAGAAGATAGATATACAAAACAAGTCAAGTTCATATTCTTTCCAAACCACTTCCAGCCTAGAGAGAATTAATGCTACACAATCTACTTTTGTAAGCATATATACACACATAGCAAGTCAAACATTTTATGTTAAATATACATTTTTTTTTTAATTTTAAAAAAAGCGATGAACAAAAATTAAGAAGATGAAATCCACTATTAAGCTATGCACTGACCCATGTTTGCTACTGTCGGCCCTACTGCAGAGTAATAGGTGAAGCTTCTTCGAAATTAATTTCTTCAAATCGATTAGTTGGATTTTCTGGGCCAAAAGCGCAGCTAGATATTTCTTGTTCTCCCCCAGTTCTCGCAGAGACTTCTCCATCGCCCATATCTTGCGTAGAGATTTCTTGATCTTCGATGTCTTGGCAAGGAGCTCATCCTGGCATGAAGCCATCGTCAAGGCATGGTCTTGACCCGAGGGGAGCTCAGCGGCCATGATATTGGAATGCTAAACTGAGGCAAAAGGGAATTTAGGGTTGGTTGTGGGTATGAAATATAAGCTAAAGCGTGGAATTAATTCAATTGATCAATATGCTTTCCATTCATCCGTAAAGTCATGTATTTATATAATGACCTAATTAATCTTGATAGGAGCAGGAAAATTTTTATAAAAAAAAAATATTTTTAAGGAAGAATCAGGAAACTTTTATTAATATTATTTTAATCAAGGAAGAAACAGGAACCTTTTTATTGTTGATCAAATAAAACACAGGAAACTTTTTTTTTTTTGGTTGAGAGAAAACAGGAAACTTATAATTGTTTTTTAATATGCGTGTGGTATTGTAGGGGCTTTTTTCTTCCGGCAGCTACTACGGGCCTGACTGCCGTAAAGGGCAAAATGGAAGAAATTGCCCCTTGAGCCTGAGTTCGAAAATTAAGCCCCAAAATATCTCGAAAAGGCAGTAGAGCCTTAGGAAGTATTTTGGTTATCTTCACCAACGAGAATAATGGTAACTTGCAGATAGTTTTGGCATGCTTACAGATAGTCTTTTCAGCTCAGCATGAGTGGCATGTGGCATGGGAGCAAAATCAACATGGGTTTAGCACTAAGAGAGAAATTAGGCTTGGTTTATGAGAAAAGAAAGTGTTTAAGTAAGGAATGAGGTGTTTTGTGAGGAATTCGACTAGGGAAAGAGGAAAAAGAAAGGCAGAGTTCTTCTGGCAGCTGCCAGAAAAACAAATTGGAGAAGAAGATGAACAGTGCACGAGTCTGAGTTTTGCAAGATAGAGAGAAAAGCTTGCTCTCTGCAGGTTGTGAGTT